GCAGGATCGGTGCGTGATGAAACTTGGGCATGGAGGGGTGTGAGTGGTAGCATGAAGTATTTGGATGTAATTCCATTTATTATTTTGTGGGTTGTGTGGAAGGGGATGAATATGAAGGCTTATGAAGGGGTAGATAACGTGGATGGTTTTAACACACTTAAGAATAGATGGTTCTAAATTCTCTGTCTTTTGTTAATGAGTCATTCTCCTCTTTTGATGAGAGAGTTAGGGGATGTTATTGATACTTTGATCGAGACATGAGTTTGGCACCCCCTTGGTATCATTATTAATACCATATTATACACTTTATATTTTAAAAAAAATTATGACTTTCCTGATTAGGATTTGATTAAGAAATATTGAGAGTAATAAGTTGATTGTCTTGATGATCTTGGTTTTGTTGTCGATAGTTTAATCAACTTGTAAATATATTGTAAATGGTTGTGCCCCCTTGGCACTCTAACATCAATACAACTCCACACAAAAATTAAGACTAACAAGATGACAAAATGCTACTCGAAATAAGATAAGAAATATCAATGCTAATAAGATTAGAAATAATATTAATAATACAAATAAAAAAAATTAAGTGATAGTAAAAATAAAATTATAAGGTTACTAAAACTATAATAATAGACTCCTAAATAGTAATTTAATAGAATTTAGTTTATAATATATTTAAGTAATCTATACCTTTCCATTTTAGATCAATATGATATTTAAATTATAATATTATATTTATAGTAATTTTACATTCTTTAAGTTTATTTTTCACAATATTAGTTTCTTCTTTATCTTAGATGGAGAAATGACCTTGTTTGTTATTTATAACCATGATATACTGCAGTATACATGAGCATACACTGGTGGACTATGGAGCGCAAGCTCTGTTGGTGCTTGCATAAAGTTTGGTGTTAATTGTTCAAGTTTTTATTTTATAATTCATGATCTAGATTATTTTATGATTATTTCTAATGCTTTATGGTGGCTTCCATAAGTTGGGTTAATTTAATGTCTATTGTATCTTAAAGAACTTCTTACGGAATTGCTCTTTTTCTGCTGTCAGGAACATGAATGCTTTGAACTTAGGAAGGGAAGAGACAAGGAACAACATAAAAAATCTATTCTTTTTAAAAATAATGAACAAGATGGTAATGCTGAGAACTCTAAGAAGGCAAACATGTAAGTATGAGTCTCCCCCCTTTGAGCAGTTTTCACGATTTGACATTTTTTTACAGCCTGCTGGATCTTTTGAGATCTAAAAGCCTAATCAGATGGTAGAGAAAACTAAATCTGCTTTTATAAGGTCCCAATTGAAGTGGTTGACAATTAGTTTTGTATAAGAAATAATGGAAACATCACCATAGATTTCTCTTGCTATTATGCTAAAGAAATAGTAGAAATATCTATGAGAAAATTAGGAAAGCCAAGGGTAAGAAAGAAACTATATAGGAAGCTATATGGGATAAAGGCTGAAATACTCGTTATCTCCAATATTTCCCCTCTAACTGAAGCTTTATAAATAAACCAAAGCAAATAAAAAAACTTAAACCAAACAATAAAGAACAACATGTAACTTGACTTCCATTGACTATCATTCTTAATGAGGTAAATGATTAACTTGTAATGAGATTTATACTATGTTTAGATAAATTTTAGTGATAGGTAATTAATGTATGACAATAACAGTGATTGGATAATAATGACATAAGATGAGAATGATAATATTTTTTTATATTTGGATGATTGTGTATTAATGTATGTTAATAACAACTGTTTTGTTTGGATGATAAGATGATATAATTATATTTTCAATCAAATTACTAATTTACCTCTGCTTTATTATATGTAATAATAAATGATATCTAAAAAATATGTAATGAAAAAAATAAATTATATAAAAATATAATTAAATTTATATTTAAATAAATAATTATTACACATAATCAAATTAAATTTTTATATTTAATAAAATAAATAATTATTATTTATATTATCACATTAATTTAATTTTAATAAAAATAAAATTATTTATATATTAAAAACAAATAGTTGTAATTATATATTATTATATTAAATGTAAAATTATTTAAAGAAATAAAAAATTAAAATGTGTTTGAAATAATTATTTATCATTAGTTAATTTATTAAACATTTTTTATGAGGGTATAACGGGAAGAAAATTATCTGTTTGTCACATACTATCGATTCGGTGGTTTTTAAAATTTATTCCGAATTTGCTAGTTGGTTACCGTTTGCTACAATCTCATCAAGTTGGAAGTTGAAACAAATAGGATTTTATCACGTCCGTGGAATACTATATATTAATTGACTACTATTTATCACTAAACAAATAGGGCATTAAAGAAAGACGTGAATATGGCTAGATGAAGATTATCCTTTAGTTGAACTGATATCTCAAGTGAACAACAATAAGCTTAGTTCAATTGTTAGTCGAGCAGCAACTAAATAATTTTGGTTTGGTTGCTGACATAATATATCATTTTACTTTCTCTCTCTCTCTTCTCTTCTCTGTTGACCAGGCCAATCATTCTTGTTTAGTCCCATTTTTCTCCATGCCATTATGTCTTCCAAGGAGATTTTTGTTCATTGAGTGCAAATCCTTTGATCACTTTCGTGAGGGAAGAGTTGCTAAAGTGTGAGACTTGGCAAGAAGGTAGATGTTTTCGAGCATCGATATCCCTTGTGGGTGATGAAGTGGATTGGTTGCTTAAGGTCACCTATGAGTTCTATTGAGAGAAAGGATAGGTTTATTGGAGGAAGGAATAAGAGGATGAACACACTTTGCTAGGTGATTGTAGTATTGAATATTAGGAATAGGGATGATAATCCAACTCCCAACTGACTTATTTCAAAAAAAAAAAAAAAAAACCAACTCCCAACTAACTAGACCGCTTTTTTTTGCCACACCTAGATATGGGTTATATTTTTTTTTGAAATAAAAAGTATGAAAAGTATTATTTACAAAGGTACCAAGGGGGTACCACGCATATACAAAATTTATAGTTTAGTTAATATATCCATAATATTCCCAAAATCCCCCACCTTATGAATATCATGCCCCAACATCAAGGTTCCAAAAAAGTGAAATCACATATCCTTGATCTAAGATATCTCATTCTCAATATCTTTAAAAGGCCTATTGTTTCTTTTTTTCCAAATCACCCAGATAATAGTAAATGGTATTAACTTTACAAGTTTTCTTTTTTTACATACACCTAGATATGGGTTATATAAAATTTGGTTTCAGGTTTGATCGGGTTTGAGTTTTAGTGGTTGAATACCCAAACTTGACCCTACTCTTATATATATATATTTAAAAAGTACAAAAGAACAGAAATATATTGAGAATATTATTTATTTATAATTACTTTTTTGTTTATAATTGTTATAATTTTTTTAATTCAGAGTGGTTTAGTCAGATGTATTTAATTGATTGTATTGGGTTTTGGGTCGGCCAAAATCCAACTTGAACCTGATCTATAGTCATTCAAACAGAAGAAGGTACTTCAGCTACTATAGAGCGAGCTAGGGAGGTTGGAAAGGACTTATATCTTGAAGGGTACGGAAGTTGAAGGTTGCGATTTCTCTTGAAGGACGTTGGGGAGCTTGTGGTCAAATTCAGCTGTTTGTGGAGTGTGAGTCTGGACAAATCTCTTAAGTGCTTGGCCACGATTCTCTTGAGGATTAAGGCTGGTTTTTTGCTTATGATTTGCGAGTCTTCTTGCCCAAAGCGTAACATTTAGTTGCAAGTCTCAGTCATTGTG